TGTTTAAAACATCCGCTGCCAGCGTATGCATGGGTTTAGGGTCCTCCATTGGAGCATAGCCACCTCCCTAAGGGCCACCCCCCTAAGGAAAATGGGTTCTTCCATCCTTAGTAGCGATCAGCTACCAGTGGTCATCATTTGGGGGCAGAGCTCTGAGTGCCCTTCTTCCAGCAGGTTGCAGTTTTAACTGGCTGGATCTTATGCAAGTCTTGGGCCATGGACCGGCCATGTCTGGAAAACAGTTTTGCAGCTGTATTCTGAAACCTTTGGTTCTTACAACTCTTCTGCCTCCTCTGTAACGATCCCTGAGTCTCGCAGTGGGGCAGGGTGAGTGTGTCCATTATGTCTCACGGAATCTGGGATACAAAGCTTAGCTTGTGTGACTGGCCAGCAAACACCTCTTGTCTCTACATCCCTACTGTTGCACTACAACATCACTGCGCCAGGTTCTCACAGAAGCGAGATCTGAACTCGCTTCTTTACCCATCCATGGGAAGCCTGTTTTAACCTGAGCCATCACTCAGCCCCAGGACTCTGGTTTTAAAAATATAAGAACACAAAATGTATGTATAATAAATGCGGGATATAATATTAACTACAAAGTAATTTCTACGTCTTAAAAATACTCTGTGTTAGTCTTGATTCTCCAGAACTTATTTCATCGACCTAAATATCTTTATATCTCTATGTTTGTCTATCTACCTATCAAATTTCTATTATCTACCTATCAAGTATCTATCATGTATCTATCTACCTATCGATAATTTAACTATCAATTATCCATATATCATTCAATCAGTCACCTAGCTATCAAATATCTATCTTAAATACTACTTGTTTGTTTTAAGTACTTTGCTGTCTTGACTATGAAGCCTGGTAAGTCTGACACCTACATACAAGCACTGTAGCTTGGATGTGGAATATTCCCCAGAAGTCCTTGGGGAAGACTTCTTCTTCATTATGGTTGATTTGGAGGTGGTAGAGCTTTTTAGCAGGTAAGACTTAGTGGTGCTGACCCTTCACCTCATTAAGGGTGCGCTCTTGAAGGAGACTCTGGTACTCCAGATACTTCTTTCTTTGCTTCTCTTCTTGACCATGTGTTGGGAAATTTCCCTCTGCCATACTCAATACATGAAGTACTACCTCATCCACAGTGACAGGACCAATGGGAGATAGACCAAAACACCAAAAAAATATGAACTAAAATAAGCATGTTTCTTTAGATAAAGTGACTATGTCATTCATTTTATTATAGTGATAGAGTTGACCAACATAGGCAGTTCAGCATGCTGGAAACTCAGTCGGGATTGTTATCCTACAGTCTTGAGACAGAATACTCTTTCCCCTTTTGTTTGAAAGGCCCTCAAGTGATTGGATGATGTTCACCAACCACTCCATTGCTGACAGGAGACTCCTTGACCTTCATCACCCAATAATAATGTTGATAGCTTGCCTGATAACTTCACAGTAATAGTTAGCCTGCCATGTGACTGAATGATAGGTCTAGTCAACCTTGCCTATCTCTAGCTCCAAATAGTCTTAGGCTAATTTTTTTCCCCCAGAAAGAGTTGGCTGATGGTAATCATAGTTTCAGTGGTAGTGGGCTCCCTGACACTGTGATCCTCAGAGGCTCTGCCCCTGGGTAGGATACTGGGAAGCCTCCATGTCTCTCAAGCCCTAAGACCTTGCTTTTAACTTCCTTTTCTGAATAGCTGATGTCCGTTGGTTTCACACCCAAGCAATCCCTTTCTGTGTCCACTCTGTGCCCCCTTCACACCCACAGACATGGTGTCTGTCCCAGGAACTTTTTTGCACTTTGCCCAACTTGTTCTCAGACTCATTGTATTGCTGTAAGGCTGTCCTTGAGAATTCAGAAGACAGTGTACTTAAAGGAACTACCGAGATAAATAACCAGCAGAGGGCTCAGCAAATGACCATGAACCAGAGAGCAGAGCTGTCTTTAGGGACCACTGGGTTTACGGACCATGACACTACTCACCGCTATGTGACTTAGGTCACATCCCTGGCAGTGTCCCTGGACATCAATTTCCACACCTGCAAGACAGGGCTAACTATTTTAATTCTTGTCTTGAAGGGTTGACATGAATTTTGCTTTGAGCACTTTTTAACTATTTATTCCATTGAACCATCACAACGCCAAGAACCGTCTAGAGTCAGTGAGGAAGTGGTTTTCAAGATGGCCATCCTATTCTACTGAGACCATACAACATCTGGTAGGAAACGCCCCTGACCCCTCGAGCTGTGATAGTTTCTGCTCGTGACTGTGAGAATTTTACATCCTCTTCCTTTAGGCCCTCTGGGGGCTGAACAGTGAGAGCTGAGATTACAGTTTACCCTTAAGACATTTTCTCAAAAAAAAAAAAAAAAAATGCAAAGGCGTAACAGGGGGGGGGTTCCGTTTTTAAACCACTCGAACATCTCTTTCAAAGTTCCTGACATCCTTGCTCCCACTCGAGAAAAGAGAACAGAAACTGAACAAAGCTCCTTGACTTGCCTTACTTAATAGATCCGAGTGAGGGTCAACCGCTTTCAAAGGCGAAGGGGCTTGCCAGCCGCATCCTGATTCTTCCCTCGAAAGCCGCGACATAGGCTAGTCTCTTGGAGGGCTTTGAGACCACGTGAAACAGACCCATAAACTGTTCTCAGAAGTTCTCTTCCTTTAGAAAACCGGACTTTCAGCCTAGAAATCTGCTCAGAACTCTCAGGGAAGGGCACTGAGACATGGTCAGGAAACCCGATATTGCCTGTGCCTGCTTCAGTCATAAAACCGAGGACTAGCCCACAGGAAAGCAGATGCCTGAAGACCCTATTCTCCATTCCTCTCTGAAACGAACTTCTGTTAAACGTATGTCAGGGTCACATACAGAAAAAGGGCCCAGGGAGCTTGAAAGGATGAACAAAACCAAGGCAAAGCAGGCCTTCACCACAGTGAAGGGGCTCAGGGCCAACTAGGGTTCAGAGCTCCCTTTTAAAAGTTCCTTCTTTTATCTGGCTAGCCAGTCACTTAGTGAAGAGAGACCTTCAAGAGCGACCAGGCGCTCCCAGACCAGGTAGTGGGCGGGCGAAAGCGGTGTTCCAGCTCCTGAAGAGGGTAGACTGGAGTGATGGAACCCACAGAAGAACCAAACAATCTGCTCCCACACATCCAATGGTATTCTGAATGAAATACAATGTGAGGATCTAGGTTTCCCCAGGAGGGGGCAGTAGAGGGAGGTTGCTCAGGCAGAAGGCCCCTCCCTCAGTTAGCAGCTGAGTTACCTGAATGAGAAAAAGCCTGCTCTGCAGGGCAGGGGGAGATCTGCAGGAAAGTTCCAACCACCCAAAGGAGAGCAAGGCAGGCAGTTTAGGAAGGAGCCTGAAAACAGTCTGAGTGTATGGAAGAGGCTGTCTTGCAGGTTCTGAACAGGGCTTAAAATGGCTTTAGAAACTCAATTTGAATGCTTGGTGGGGAGCCACTTAGACAGTGACCAGGGGAAGGGGCCCTGCATTAGGTGGGAAAGAAGTCTCCAAAGTCTTAAGCTGGATGCTTACAGGAGCTTCATTGTTAAAAAGGAGGCAGAATTTTAGATAGAATACTATCTCTATTTACATACAACACATCTACTGAGCAGAAAACGGTTTTATTATTATTTTGTCAGAGGTACAGACAGGCTGCCGAATAGCAAGGATAGGCATAGGTCACTGGATATAAAAAGGCGCTTCACTGGGGTTACTGGGGACAGGTATGCTGGCCCTTCGGCTCTCCCTCAACCACGGAACAGTATCTAGGAAATTAATTCTTCCTTCTGGCCGAAATGCAAAACTGCAGAAACCTTCCGCTACATACGGCCTGGCCATTCTCAAGAGGCCAGACTTCTTCGGTGGAGCATACTTTATTAGAGACCATTTATGAGTTTCTACCGATAATTATGAATAACTGGAGGGAAACGGAGACTTTGCAGGCTGAGGGGGATTGTCTTCGGGTTCAGCTCCAAGCTGCTATGGAACCGGTCTCAGCAGCAGAGTCTGACAACGTTCTTCCCTTAGCGGTGGCGGTAGAACTTAGGTGCTGGTGCTTAAGCCATGTGGTCCGTCTGCCCATAAGTCACCTCCATAAAATACGCGGGGAGGTATGATGGCGCTGGAGGCCGAAAATGTTGGCAAGCCCCATCCACTGTCGTCATCGCCGGTGGCAGAGCGGAGTGACAAGAGGCCACACGTCCCTGGATAGTAGCGACGTAATAAAGCGTGCTTTGCGCCATGTGTGTCACAGATTTTTGTTTGTTTTTTTTTTTCCTGGAAGGTTTATTCTTTATTTATTTATTTTGTTTTTTTTTTCCTTTCTTTCCAAGTTCCGCCTTCTTTGCAGTCAAACTGGCCCCAGCTGTGCATCGGCCTTTTACTCCATCTGTCCTTCTGTTGGGGACCACGTTCTCTCGCCAAACAGAGAGTACAAGTTTCGCTCCCCAAAGAGATCATCATAAGCCCTACCTTCTTCGCTAGGCCCCATTCAAGGGCAGGCCCGCTGGAGGGGCTGTCTGGAGGGCAGAGGGAGAGCATGCGGGCAGGCTGCTGGCCTCGCCCCCAACCTGGTACACTTCGCACGCCAAGCCTTGCCAGGCAACCCGTCCGTGCCTCCTCCATCGGCACCACAGTCCTGGGCAGAGTGTCCATCCTGCCGGTTCTTTTTCAGTTCTGCTACAGAACCGAGATTCGCAGGTTGGAATTCGCCCTGGTGCCAGCCGCGTCATGCAACGGGGAGGGGACTGAGGAGTAGGAGGCCGGGTCGGAAGGGGCGCTGTGCAGTCCCCAGCTCCTGGGGGATGCCGGCGTAGGGTGTGTGGGGGGGCGGAGCTGATGGAAGCCACGGCTCTCCTTCGCACCCCCCCCTTCCCATAGCAGCCTGCTGCTGCAGCCGCGCCTCCCACCGTTCCTCCCACCCTGCGCCCTTCTTGGCATCCCCGCCCTTACTCCACCCCCTTCCCGGCCGGATCCCCTTCCTCCCTGTGTGAGCGCTTTAAATAATTTCCTCCTTTTTGGCAAAAGAAATAATGCACCTGACTTTACCAGGGGGAAACAGTCAGTCGAGCAGAACAAGGAACAGATGTAAAAAGAACAGAAGAAGAGAGAAAAAGCTATGGGACTTGCTTAAAGACATCCAGGAGCCGGAGAGGTGGCTGCGGCGGCAGAGGCTGCTAGAGCAGCTCCCGCCTGCGTGAGCTGCGGGCAGAGGGCGTTCGCACCAGTTGCAGATGTCATCCTGGGAACTCCTGGCTCCTTTGGTTTGTTTGCCAAAGTCTTTTTCTCATCTGACTCAGACACTGAAGAGACTCCTGGATTGTTCTGCGATCCCGCCACAAGCTGGCAGCTATCCGGAGCCTTCCTAAAGAGCTGGGGAAGAAATGAGCCCCGCTGGGCGGAGGATGGGCGAAGGGCATCAGCCAGCGGGGTCACCCCGTGGTCGGCCCTGCGGCTCCGGGGCGCCGTGCTCCCTGCTCCGGTTCTTCGTGCACGCCTGGCTGTGGGCTGCCTCGGGCTTGTCTGCTCAGGTGTTCAACCTCAGTCTCTATGTGGACGAGGGGCTGCCCCCCGACACCCTGGTAGGTGACATTCGTGTGGGGTTGCCAGTCGCGCAGCAGCAGGAAGGGAATGGCTTCTTTCTGTCGGAGGATTCGGATGACTCCCCGCTGCTGGACGACTTCCACGTGCACCCGGACACCGGCATCATCCGCACCGCACGGCGTCTGGACCGCGAGCAGCGGGACCACTACAGCTTCGTGGCGGCCACGCTGTGGGGCGAGGTGGTGCAGGTGGAGATCCACGTCAACGACGTGAACGACCACTCGCCCCACTTTCCCCGCGACTCCCTGCAGCTGGAAGTGTCGGAACTCAGCCCCCCAGGAACCGCTTTTCGCCTGCCAGGTGCCCAGGACCCGGATTCAGGGCTGTTTAGTATCCAGGGTTACACCTTGCTGCAAATGTCTGACCTGCCCCAGGACCCCGCAGGACCCTTCTTCCAGTTGCGCTACGGGTCGCAGGGGCCACCTGCGTCACCGCCTCAGCCAGTGTCCTCATCACCCTTGGAGCCCTTAGACTTGGTGCTGCTGAGGCGCTTGGATCGAGAGGAGGTGGCGGTGCACGAGCTGCAGATTGAAGCTTGGGACGGGGGCAGTCCTCGGCGCATTGGCCGCCTGCACGTGCGGCTGCGTGTGCTGGATGAGAACGACAACCCGCCAGTTTTCGAGCAGGGCGAGTACCGCGCCGCAGTACGTGAGGACGCCCAGCCGGGCGCCGAGGTGTGTCGCGTGCGTGCCACTGACCGCGACTTGGGGCCCAATGGCTTGGTGCGCTACAGCATCCGGGAGCGGCAAGCAGCTGGCGGGCCACGGGGCGATCCCGGCTATTTCTCGGTGGAGGAACTGAGCGGTATAGTGCGGGTGCAGAGACCTTTAGATCGCGAGGCGCAGGCCTGGTACCAGCTGGTGGTCCAGGCGCGCGATGGGGGCGCAGAGCCAGAGGTAGCCACAGTGCGCGTGTCCATTGATGTGCTGGACGTGAATGACAATCCGCCCGACATCCACCTGCTCTTTCTTACCGAGGGAGGCACGGCCCGCGTCTCTGAGGGCGCCCGGCTAGGAGACTATGTGGCTCGAGTCTCGGTGTCCGACGCAGATGGTGACTCAGAGAAAGAAGAGGAAGTTACCGGGGTGCTTGGTGCACACCTTGGGGCAGGTAGCATCAAGTTGTCCTTGGAGGGTGGGAATGGAGCCTTCGCGCTGCGACCAGGCGGCCCTCCTGGAGTATTTTTCCTTTGCATCCAGAGCCTCTTGGACCGGGAAAGCCAAGATCTATATGAGTTACGACTAGTGGCCACAGATTCAGGGTCCCCGCCATTGAGCACAGAGGAGACGCTGCTGCTCTGGGTCTCGGACCTCAATGACCAGCCACCTGTGTTCAGCCAGGAACATTACTGGGCCTCGGTGTCCGAGGCCGCGGTCCCAGGAACCTCGGTGGTTTGGGTCAGCGCTTTGGATGCCGACCAGGCTGGCACCAATCACGCCAGGCTGCGGTATACGCTGGTGCAACTCTCGAACCCCTGCGACTCTGAGGCTCTGTCACAAAAGGCAGAGTGTGTTCCATCCTTCAGCATTAACCCCAATAACGGTTTGATCAGCACACTCCGAGCTCTAGACCGGGAGGTCCAGGAGGCAGTGGAACTGAGAGTGGTGGCCCAGGACCTCGGAGAACCGCCCCTTTCTGCCACCTGCCTGGTGAGCATTGCTGTAGACGACGTGAATGACAATGAGCCCGTGTTCAGGTGGCAGGTGTATAATGTCACCCTTGCTGAGCATGCCCCGATTGGACACTGCTTTCTGCAGGTGAGTTTATCAGGTCACTGGGCCCAGGACACAGCCTGGAATGAGGGTGAGGACGTAAGTCTGTCCCGGGAAAATGTGACATGGGTGCTTGTGTCCTGGTCCGAGAAGCAAGATTACCTGCTATAGACCGACCAGTGAGAGGCAAAGGTTTTTGTCAGGTCTTGACCCTGTGACCTCTAAAGTTCGTTCTCCATCACGGGAGACTTTTTCTTGGATCTTTCTTCTGGAGTGCAGTTTCATCCATACTGGAAAGCCTCCAAATCTACTTACTAGGGACCACCCATTGTCCCGAAGCAGATTATGAGGCTCTAGTCGATGGCTTACACTTTTGAAACCTTTATGTGATGTCTCAGGAGTCAGGGGAGTCTTCACGTTTTAAATATTGAATACTCGCGTTTTAAACATTGAATACCCTTTGAGCGATCCCTCCAAAGACCCCTTACAGAGTTTCCCACCTTCTTTAGGAGTTTGCGAAGGTCACCGAGGACCTGGCGTCATTGTAACCATCATGTTTGTGGGCTGAGATCCTCCAGAGGACTTCACCACTGGAGAAGCAGAGAATCACCACATCCATCATGGTTACCCCAGGTCCCGCCCTGTGCTACGCTGTTTGACTTTGGAGAGTTTTTTAGAGTTCTTGGGATCTCTTCTGCACGGCCAGAATGCTGTGTTGTGTGCCTCCTTATTGCTTCTAATTCTATTACCTGGTGTGAGATATGCAAATTTCCAGGATTGACTTAGTTACTCCAGGACCACTTGAGGAGATAAGAGGGTAAAGCTTCAGTTAGCATGGAGTCTAGTAGATGTCAGACCTCTCTTATGTATGACCTGCTTTTCCGTTAGGAGGTCCGAACTTTAGCTTTTATAAAGTACGCAGCTGGTCACCTTTAGATAAGGGACGTGCTTTTCTACTGTAAAAAATGGGTTTCCTGATTGCATCTTTTCAGCTTTGGCGTTAGCAGTCACCTTCGTACATTCTCTAGCTGCCAGCTTCTGGAAACGTGGGTCCTGACCATACGGGTTCCTAGGACAGATTATGGGGGCTGTAAAAACTGTGACAGCAGTGAAAGGTTTCTAAACTCCCCAAGACCAAAATACAATTCAAAGTTAAGCTTAGACCGAGTTCGAGGGGTTCGTTGATGTGTCACACGACTTCACTACAGACTCGCTTCTGAACACGTGGCCTGTGCACCTGGCATTGCGTATGTCTGCAGTTCACCTAGCACCTGGGTGCAGGCTGGGAGTTTCATTTGGACTGCAGTGCTTATTTTTAATTTTTATTGATATTTTGCTATATATAGCAATATAAATTTATTTATATACTATCCATAATTTATATGTAATCAAATATGTGTGTATAGTATCTATTTATAACACTATTATATACGTATTTATATATAAAATTTCTGCTCAAGAAAGGTTTAGGGTCTGCTGCAATCAAAGTTGGCTTTTGAACTGACAATATAAGCTTCCAGTTCCCAAGCAATGATGCTGTAGGCTTGCATCCTACATTCTCTGATCTTATAAACATAATGGTCTAACCACAGAAAATGACACTTTTAACATTTCCCCACTGTTATTCCTCAATATGTCGACAACAAATTGGTATATGGTAGGATTGTTTTTTGTGTGAGAATGTTTGCTTTTAAGAACTACTGTCTGCTTTTCATAAAAGCTGTTCAATGAATTTTGACTTAGACTGTAGACTATAGACTATATAATTATTTCCAATAATTTCTGACACGGTCCTAAATATACATCTGTGGTTTTGTACTGCGTATTTATGTGAAGCCATATTCTCAACATCAGTGATGACAAAATTGAAATATGGATAGTTCTGAAAAACACGGAAGGTATTCTATATCATGCAGTCTCAAACATTCAGCCAAGAGCTATGTGAAATTAAACAAGAACATCCATTGCATTAGTATGCAAATTTGGTTTTGTCTTTAATAAATGGTAAAAATTATATGTATGCCAAACAATTACCTTAAAATAAATTTATTCATGATTTATCATCAACAGATGTTTAATTTACATACCTATTTTATAAATGTAGAGGCCCGGGGTAATATAAAGATGTCACACATAGTGTAAGTTGTGATCAGGGGCTTAAGCGGCAGTTACTACTCCGTCCATAAGTATCCAAGTCCTTCGTCTCTTGACCAGAGTCTGATGCCATATGGGCTAGAAGCCATTGTCTTCTTGAAATGGAGAAAGCCTTGAGAGTCACGTGTATTGGTTCCACCATTATCAAGCGGTCAGTTGTGTAGACTAAGGAATGCTGAAGAAGATGTTGTGATCTGGAGGAGACCATAGATGGCCAGTGTGTCCAAAGACAGTGAAACCAGATTTTAACAATGAAGTCACGACAGGGGAAAGGTTGGACAGGGTGATTGCCAGGACTTCTGCCTGGAAGGCCTGATGATCTAGGCAGGATACTAAACCATAGCTTTGTTTGAAGGAGAAGAAATGGGTTCATTGTGACTCTTTGGATTAGAAACCATTGACAGATTTTTTTTAAAAAACCATAAAATGATTCTGCCACCAAGGATGAAACTATCCCCTCAGGTCCCCATGTGTGCTTGGACCCCTTATGGTGGCTCACCTGGGCTCAAGATGCATCTCTGAGAACCCCAGCTACCCAGCTTCCCTGCACTCCTGGAGATGGTATGAAATTGTGCCCATTAGACCTTCTGGAGATTCCTGGCATCTGTCTGCTTATGGAAGAGTTGTAGGGATCCTCTACTGCTTGGCTCGGTGGCTTCCCCTCAGTGGTTATGTGAACTTTCTAGTCCTGTAGCTATGGCTGTCCCCTGAATTCTAGGGGGGGTATCTTTCTGTGCTCTTATTCTCCCCTTCTTTCTTGTCCTTTCTCTTTCCCTCACCGCACTCCCTTTCCATTGTTCCCTTTTAGCTTTTAAACGTAGAGTCTCATTGCCTAGCCCGGAACTCGCTAGCCTTCTGTCTTAATCTTTCACATAGTGAAATTAAAGCTGAGTCAAAATAACCCTCTCTCTCTTTAAGTTGCCTCTCTCGAGTGTTTTGTTATAGTAAAGAAAACCGAGAGTGGCAGATCTCTGGACACTTGTCTTCCTCCCCTCTGCCTACCGACTCCTTAAAAAAAGCCTCTTCTGGACAATTACCCAGAGTTCCTTTCAGTCTCTTGGTGCTACCTTGGTCTAGACTAGGGCTTCTCAAACTTCCCCCAGGTTACTCTGTTGTTCTGATATATCTCTGGTATATAGGTATAGAACATAAGTCTACACATTAAACATCTACTGATAATAATTCATAAAATTAATATATGTATATAATTCCCAGTTATCAAAGAAAAAGAAAATTTGTATAATAAGAAGATAATACGTGTTCAATTTTACATAAAGAATTCACTTTTGGTTGCATATTTAATATTCCAGTAAGTAGAATATATTCAGTATTTTTCAGAACTAATCTGCAGTTTGATTTTAGAATCCTTACTGCTGAGAATGCCCCATAGCCTAAATAATGTAGCACAAGATGGCAGGAGTATGTTTGGGGTGAGTTCAGAAATTCCTGGAAATTCTGTCTTAATCTCAAGCCAAAATCCACTGAATGATTCTTTTTTTAAAAAAAAAAATAAATCAAGCCAGCAACTCAGACTGCAATTTTTAAAAATCAAACATTCTAACACAGAACAATGCCATTTGTTCATGCTAAGAAATGACGGGAGAAACATATTGAGAGCCTTTGTTTTCTGTAATTAAAACCTTATGCTTCTGGAAGAGTAGACAAACTTTGTATGAGCAGTCAAAGTCCCGCTGGCGCACAACAGTCTGGAATCTGAACTGAGGTGTTTCGGGTGGGGTTTCTGGGTGTCGCCTGGCGTCTTGGCAGGTGTGGTGCAGAGTGCACGTGCTGCGTGTTTGGGGCCGAGGCTGTATTGAAGCTGCGCTCTGCCACACGGGCGATTCTGCCACAGACTCCGTGGATTCATTATGTGTGGGGTGTTCACTTCATTTGTGGTTGTTGGACATTTAGAAACCTTTTACCTTTTTTTTTCTAACCAAACGTTTTGTGACCCCTGCACTGAATAATGACAGCGTGGGATTATGATACACAATTTCAAAAACTGTGGTTTTGGCAGAGAGGGATTAACTCCCAGTTATCCAGCCGCTGTCCTCATCCAGTTCAGGTGTTTGACCCCAGAGTCCTTTTATTCTCAGATTACTGCCCCAAAAGCTAACTTCAGCCTCCAAAACGACGACCCTGTGCTGTGCTGTGAATTACATACACAGCCTCTACTTACAGGCAGATTCGAAAACAGTGCGAACCACAGCTCTCAAGCCTGCGTGGCGCAAGCGTGGGACAAGACTATTCCCGCATAGCTCCTCAAGAACCAGGAGGATTCATCCTCCTGGTGCCTATATCTCCCACGGTCTGACGGTCCTCTGCCACCGCGTGACACTGTGCCTGCCAAACCGCGTTTCTCCATGGTCTTCTCTTTCACATCCAATGGGTTCTGCAACCTGGTGACCTCATTTGTCCCTGGAGCACTTTGGACTTGTGCCCACCGGCTTCCTCTTTTTCTGAATGCAACCGCCCCCTCGCACCGCCCAGGGGCTTTTCTCTCCCAGCCTTTCTTCCTGCCTCTTTCTTACCTATTTCTCTTTCTACCACCTCACACTCAGGATGGCACGGACTTCTGAAGCTTCTGTCTTCCTATCACCTCTCTTTTCTTCTATTCTTATTCCCTTCTTCAACATTCTCAGAAGCCCCCTTTCTCCATCTGAAAGCTCCACTTCTCTTACAAGCTTCAGATTAATGCCTTATTATTTTTTTTTATTATTTTGGTCGGGTGGGAGCACATTTCTGCTGCACGTATTTGGCATCTCAAACCTAACGTTTTCCAATTTAAATGGATGGCCCCTCCTTCTTCCTCAGTCTTCTCCCTTACCTCTTTTAGAACTCATGCCCACTCCAGTCATCTGTGTCAACAGTTGAGTAAAAAGAAAAGAAAC